TTATAACATTCATGCTCCAGACGAGCCCACCCATTACGGGTACAATAGCGCCACCACAATTGACTTCATCTCAAATAACATTACTAACAGATGCAATATCTCTGTAATCTCAGCCCTGTCTTCCGACCACAACCCCATTGTATTTGAAATCCCCATTAATAAATACCCTCCCCTCATTTGACAGAAGTATAGGAGTTACAAATTGGATCAAATACTCTGAAATTCTGAATAACTCCATACAATGTAACCCATGCATCAACAACACTGAAGATTTAGAACACGAAGTCTCAAAATTTACCAACAGCATCAATTCTGCTTTAAAGGAAGCCACCAATACTTTTATGTGAAAAAGGCTTTCCTTCCCCTGCCTGCCGATATAAGAAATAGGATTAAAGAGAAAAACTGGATGCGTAAAAGATGGCAAACCACCAGTGATCCACAACTCAAACACGAACTAAACGCTATGCAAAAAGAAATCAACAAAAGAATCAAGAACTTCAAAAACCAAAAATGGACCAATTTCCTAAATAACCTAGCTATAGAGGACAATTCCCTATTTGACATTTCTCTCAAATTCAAGAAACCTTATAAACCTATTATTTATTCTGGTTCACTAGGTTTATTCCATGAACCTAGTGGAATTTCATATACAGAAGAAGATAAAGCTAAATCTTTTGCGGACTATATGGAAGATACATTCACTTCTTAATCCCACTCCGTACGACATAACCATATTGAACGGGTCAACCAGGTGGTCAATAACTTCCTTAATACCCCTGCTCCGTACAACTTCACTTTCCTGACTACCCCAACAATCGTTGCCAACACCATCAGCGCCCAAAACAAACAAACGAGAAAGCCCCAGGGCATGATGGCATCTCGACCAAAGCACTGAAGACATCTTCCGATCAACGCTCTTACCTGCCTAACTAAGATAATCATCAACATTATCAAATTCGCTCATTTTCCTAACTGATGGAAGCAAGCTATAATAATTGTTTTTGCTAAACCGCAGCAAAATCCCAACCTCTCCCACAGAACTATCGCCCTATCAGTTTACTTAAGCCACCTGTTTAAAAAGTTACTGAGAAAATCCTACTTTTCCATATCCAAAAAATTCACCCTTCCATGAATTTTCTCTCAGAAGAGCAATTCGGTTTTCGTAATCATCATAGCACTTGCCACCAACTTCTTAGAGTTATCAGCATTATCACTGAAGGCTACAACTGCAAGCTTCCGACCGGTGCTATATTTCTCGATATCGCGAAAGCTTTTGACAGGGTATGGCATCGAGGCCTTATTTACAAACTAATCAATCTCAATTTTCTCGCTTAATAGCCTCTTTTCTCAGCAACAGAACATTCAGAATAAAAATCGGTACTGCTTACTCTACCACCAGAGTAATCAATGCTGGTGTCCCACAGGGGTCGGTACTTTCGCCGTACCTTTTTAATATTTGTACACAAGACATCCCTAAAGATCCTTCTGTTCATCTTGCACTCTTTGCCGATGACACGCCATACTTACTAAAGCCTGCACATTAAAGAAACCAACTCCAAAACTATCTCATAAAACTGGAAAAATGGCTCATCCTTTGGAGAGTTAAAATTAACCTGAAGGCAATAATTTAACGCTGAAAAAACCAAGGCATTAACGCTGAAAAAACCAAGGCATTAACGCTGAAAAAAACCAAGGCAATAATTTTCCGTAAAGGGAAGCATGAAAATACTATCCTCCACCCCTGAAATATTTGACGAAGAAATAGACTGGATTAATGAAACCAAATACCTTGGAGTCACCCTTGACCAAAAACTTACCTTCAGAACCCACTTCCGGTCCGTAGTACAAAAATTTAAAATCATCACAGCTACTATGCGACCTCTTCTTGGTAGAAAAAGCAACTTATCTACTACAAACAAATTAATTCTATATCGCTCCATAAACCTAATCTAATCTGAACCTAATCTGAAATTATTTCTCTAACCTTAGTCTGTTTCTTCAAAACAGGCACTTCATAGTCATTTTCTTTCGCCTGGCTTGACTCGCAATCTTGATACCGACAATTGAGGTAGACAGTCGAGTTCCTCAATTTTTTTTACCAATCCATTTCCATTTAACGTTGTTAGCCTTGAACACGAATGAAGGCTGACTTGAACTACAATCTGAAATGAGAAGAAAATGTAAGTACTACACAATTATGATAACATGTCTTACTATAGCAAGTGGCGGAGGGTCGAAAAGGCCTTGATGTGCCTATTTTAAAATAACAGACTATAACCGATGGTACTGTGTCTTTCAAATCTGATATCTAGCACCGTTTCTATAAATAAAAATACAGGCTATTACAAATACTTCCACGAGAAAAATTAGCAAATGTTTGTCATTCAGTAAAGATTTTCTAAGAGATTGCCGCTGGCTGAAGGCTAAAATTCAAACAAAGAAGAGACGATGAACTGACAGACAGACAGACAAAGTAGACAGATGTCTTTTGTTGCACCCGCTAAGTCTTTCTGCACCGATGGGCGAAAAATCAAGCATAGGTGCGAAGGAAAGGTATATAGAAAGGGGGCCAATTTCGTATTTCAGAGGAGAGTAAAAAGGAACTTCGTATATTTTATACGAGTTCGAAAGGCCAGGAAGAAAAGATGGGACAAAATAAAGTAAAAAATAAATGGCCCAAAAGTAATGGAGAAGGAAAATTTTTTTTTACTTTATAATTAAAAAAAGGGCCTATAGAAAGAAAAGGAAAGGAAGTAAGAGAATTTTGTTTAAAAAAAAAACCCACGATTGTGTTCATGAGTGTAGTCAAAGTTGTTACCATTTACATTAAAGAGAGTCTTCCAGGTATGTGTAATGAGTGTGTTTTGTAAAGCTGAATAGATGTAAAGATGGGGGGAATTTAATAATAAAATAATAAATATTGGGGGTCCAGTCACATAACAGTATAAGTCTAGCTTAGAAGCTAACTTTTGCTATAACAGGGAAACTAAAATTTAAAAATTTTTAAATTAACTTATTAAATTAAATTATTAAATTAAATATTTTTAACATGGGAACCAATATGTTAGCCTCTACCTTGAGACACAGTAACGAGAAGACACATAAGATCAAGATACATATAATATCATGCAAAATTATACATTAACTTAAGTAACATCATCTATTGCGGTTTCCAACATATTTATATACTCAGAAAACACCATCAGATAAAATCATAAATCCAAAACAAGGCGAGAACATATCAGCAAAAATAAATAAGTAAATAAATTACGGAGTTTTTTTTTTAATATTAATTAATTTTTTAAAAAAAATAAGCATTTTATTTATTTATTAAGTTAATGGTCATAATTTATTATATGTGTACTATTTTATCAATTTGAGGCACACTGTATTAATATATGCTTTTAATTTAAATAGATAGGAAATATAGATTAAAGGAGCAAAAACTACAACTCTATACATTCATTGAGGCCCGAGATCGTGTTTTTTCCCTCTCGAGAAATTCCTCAAAGGGGCCCCAATGGGTAGCGCTAACAGACTACACTACTGATAAGGGCTACTGATAAGGATAGCGTCCCTACGAGATGGTAACCAAAAAAGAACCACATGATTTAAAGCAATTACTAAGTATTTAATGCCAGAACATAATAAAATGAGCATAATAATAATGATCATAATAAATAAATGAATTTAAAGGTACTTTAGTGACAGATATTTGATTTAGCTTAGAGAAAAGAAGTTCTACTTATCTGAACGCTCCGTCTTAGTGCTGCAAAAGATTGCAAGGAAGACAAGACCCCCAGGTACAGGAGAACTCCCGGCCTTGAGAACGAGACAATGCAGAGGATATTCGCGAAAATTTTCTTAAATAAATGAAGATTTTCCGGAAAACACCTTTGAAAATTCAAGAGCTCTTCCAAGATCCTACCTCCATCGTACGTGATCACAGCGCCGCCCCGTTTATTTACTTCTCAGAGACGATGAACTTTTGCTCTGGATTAAATCTTCAGCCTTTCGGTTAAGGAATTTGATTCGACTTATTTCAACTAGTTTTAGTGGCATTTAATTACTTATTTCTGTGTAGATTTAAATGAAATATTATTTTTCATTATCTTACATTATTTTCTTTTTAACGGAAACTTTGGAGAAACTAAAACTCTCATTTTGACATTCTACTGGATCTTATAAATTTGTATACGCCGAGGACAGAAGGTATTTTATTTTCAATGTTCTTTTGCTATGCTGAATTAGGCTATGAGAAAATAATTGTAGGAAATACTGCGATACTGTAATAGTTATACTGAGTTTCTGTTACTTTTAACATTTTCTAGTACACCTGAGATTTTTCCATTTAGAGTATGAGATTTTAGGGCTGGCAGTGGGATGTTTTCCGGAAAAAGGAACAAGGAAAAGGGGAAGGATGAATAAAATGATGTGTCTCATTAGATACCTAGGAAAGCCTGTGATATTCTAGTACGAAGTGGCTGGGCTGACATAAAAAACCATTGAATGTACCAAGATATGAAATAACTGAGCTAGTGACTGGATCTTGGTAGGGCTGACGGAGACCAGAAATCGCTTTGGAGTCACTAGTCTAAGAAAGACAAAAAGAAATTAGTAAGTAATACGTTCATAAATAAAACCTGTAACTAAAGCACGTCCTGAAAGCTTCTGTAATTCAGCGAATATATAAATAGCGTAATGACTAGTAAAAATGTTGAATCATATTTCATCCAAACAGCAACTTAAAATTTAAAGAAGGAGTAAATAAACCATTGCGATGATAGCAGTAACCTCCTCTAGAAAATGATAAAGACTCTTTGTGTGTATGATATTTCGTTTTTAAATTTATTTTTCAGCAATAGTTTACTCACTCCGTCTTTTAATCATATGTTGCTGTTTCGGTGAAACATGTTTAAATTTTTCATTGTTATATATATATTTTTTTACGTACAAAAAGGAGGTGTACTTCTACTTTAACGCTTCTCTCTTCGGAACCTTGTAGTTGTTTTCTAAAATGGCGTCAGATGGGGGATTAAAAATTGAAAATCCCGGAGAAACGATAGATTCGTTAAATAGAGAAGTCGAGAATTTGAAAACGCGTTTAGAAGAAGAAAGAAAAAAACTGAATGATGTATCTTGTAAGAGAATATTTACTGTTTATATAATAGGGGTGTTTGAAAATGAAAATAAGCAAAGTCAGAGTTGTGTGTAATTGTTTGTTTACTTCCGAAGAGCGGGTAAATATATTCTGATGGCAAGGCTTCGAAATACATACACAGAGGGATACTTATTATTAGTTAGAAGAACATCTTTGTAATGAATTGTTTGGAAAACGTTATAAATTTAATTGTTAGATATGTTTCTTATTACGATTTTAATAAATTACAATGCATACTTGAAAAAATATATTTTGCTTATAGAATTAATATGCTATAATAAACATTTTCAATCTCGGATTTTTAAGTATTACCTTTTGATTCTTTAATTTTAATGTGAACTTTAGATATTATCGTGTCATTAAAAATTGATAAAGTATTTCTATGTTATCTCAAATGTTGACTGTATGGCTTGTTTTATTTAATCACAGATTGCTGTTAAGTCTTTTATATTACAGTTTGCGTTTTATTATCATCTGTAAGTGATGAATGATCACATCCAAATTATTAAAAAAAGTATCATGTACATTGTTTAAGAGCCTATTTTCAATCATGCACATTGTTTAAGAACCTATCTATTTCATTAACATTTTGGCAACTTTTATTGTGTTAAACTTAAATTTGAAATATAGTTTTAAATTTAAAAACGTATGTTTTGAAGTATGTAACCTTAATAACAGATGGAAAACAAATTTGATAATGGAAATAAATTTTTAGTGTTTGTTTGGTATTAATTCCTCATGGAAAGGGTTTTAAAGTAATTTCTAATGAAAAGCATTCTGTGCATTTTGAGAGACTTCTCCTTGTTTTGAATCAAATTATTTTGCATGAGTTTAGTAGGTCAATCTGTTTAAATAGGTAGTAAAATAGATGTTAGTGCCATCTTTTTAATCAAAATAGATGGTAGGTGTGAGAGATACATGTGTAAGAATTTTTAAATGATAAAAATTAAATAGAATTTATGTGAGAGAAGAAATTTTATGAGGAAATCTGGTTCAGCAGTTAAACTATTTCAAGTAATTTTAGAAATAAACTTGGAAGAGTGAGTATTCTGTATTGATGGAATATTTGTTAATTAATTGTTTGCTGATATAGTAAAATTCATGTAGATTAGTGCAAAATATGCTTGATTCTCTCCCTTCCCCTTAAGATCAGGTTAATCCATTAAAAGCAATACCCAGTTATGTTAATTATCCTTTCTGTAAGATTAATATTGCATAAATTCTTCATACATTCGTGTTGTGTTGCTTTCTTTTTGTTACTTATGTTTGTAGTTCAGTTCTTAGAATCTATAACAGATCTAAATTGAACCCCACTTTTTAGTAGCATTTTTCCAAGAGTTGCCTGTTAGTACATATTTATATAAATACTTATAATAGTTCCAACTATTTGCAGTATTCATGCTATCAGGTATGTTTAGTGATTATGTGTCAATTATATGTGAAGCCAGCTTTGAAATTTTGTATTAAATTTTGAATAGGAATAGAGAAATTAATAAATCATCCATTACTTGTATTGTTTTTACTAACATTTTTTCCGTAATTTTATAAGAAATTTCAGTGGATCTTGGTTATTTCAGAAAATCTTTTCAATTAGTCTATTATTACTAGTCTTATATATTATCTTTTCTATATTAATGATTAGTTTATTATCTTTTCAATTAAATTACAACTGGTTACTACTGGATTAAAAAATCATATTTTTTTTTCAAACTGTATGTATTAAGAGCTCTCAAAATAAAATTGTTTATATTTATGGGATAAATAGTTTCAGTGTAATGTAATGGTGTTTTCTGATTATCCACATCTGAGTCACCAGCTCACTGGCAACTTTGTGAATTGGTGAAAAATGTTTATTTTGCTTTTCTTTAGGTTTCATAAGTGCTGTTCTGTTCATAAATAACAACAGTTAAAAAAATAATGGTGAAGAACAGGAAAATTTTGGAGAAAAGAATTAATATGGCTGATATTTGCATTTTTACTGTGGGAGAGGGTGGTATTCATCAACAAAGTAACAGTGAAGTAAAGTAATGTAGATCCACATACACTATATAAATAATGTATGTAGTATGGCTGATATTTGCATTTTTACTGTGGGAGAGGGTGGTATTCATCAACAAAGTGACAGTGAAGTAAAGTATGCAGATCCACATATACTTAGATGCATTTTTTTACACTTGTTGTAACTAAAAAATAGCAAAAAGAACATGGCAATTATTTTGAATGTTGAGATTTGGGGGGGGGGTAGCAGATCAGAAAATACCAATGTAAGTCTTCTAAATTTCTGCTGTCACTTCCTCTGCCCTTAGAAAAAAAATATTTTGCTGTCTGTAAGTATTTTGCCATTTTCTTCTTGTAACATGGTGATAGCTCAGTAATGGTTTAAGGGTAATTTAGCTTGACTAACAGATGGTTTTCAGATTTATCTTGGAATTGCGTACATGAGTATTGAGTTTATTTACTCCCATTTCCTCAGGAACTCAGTTTTAATTTTTACCTTGTGAATGGATTTGTTAAAATGCTAAAAGAGACCAGACTGTAGCTCTAGGGTATGAAGAATGAAATTACCTAGTATTGTTCCATGACTCTCAGGATTCTGGATGCAAAACTTTTAATATATCAAGAAAAATGGCTGTAGTGAGAATTCTTTCTCCACCAAACTTGGAGACAAGCAAGCAGCTTTTTCCTGGAAATTGCATGTCTATACTTATCTATCAAACTCCCGAAACACATAGCATGATTCTTCACCCCATTAAGATTTTCGTCCATTATTCTAGTGCCCACTTTGTGCAACTATAATTGATGATAACATTTCATTCAGTGATAACTGCCTTTTGTATTGCAACCTGTCCAAATAATTCGAATACAAACATCTTTTGACAGATTTCAAGAGTTTGCATAGTTTCCCACTGCTTCAAAGAGCCTGTAGCCAGTACTATCGATGTCATATCAGCAATTCTTTTGAAGGGAGTTTTTTAAAAGGCCTATTAGTTTAACTTCACTACACATCATAAACATCAATGGTCAATCTATGAATTATTTCAGCTGGAGTTGTATAACTCTTTTTAATATCATATAATCTTCTTAAAATTAATACAGTACAAAGTCTGTAATCCGGACGTCCATTATCTGGAATGATCTGTAATCCGGACCTCAAAACTACAAACTTACGCATGAGCGTAAAGCGTTTACGCATGCGCGTTTGATGCGCGCGTCTGTTATGCATGTACGTAAAGCCAGTAAAGCATTTACCCATGCGTGCTTCCGATACTGAAGGGAGTAACAGAAAACGTTATTGAAAACGAAAAAATTTCGTTTGACAAATTAGTCGGTATTCTCAACAGCAATTACAGGACTTTAACAGTGGAATATTGTAACTGAACAAGAAATTATGTCTGTTTATAGAATTAAAGAGAAAGTATTAGCACAAAAAACGAAGCAACTTAAACAACTTACATTGAAAGAAATGTTTACTTACAAATAAATATTAAGCTTTTTTTTTATACCTTTTAGCTCATAATTGCTCTTTATTTCATAAATTACAGTTTCATATTTTTTAATTATATAGTTTCTGCATGCCATCTTACCAGATTTAAATTGATGATTTATAATCCGAAAAAAACCCCTAATACGAAATTGCCGAAGTCCCAACAAGTCTGGATTACGGACTTTGTACTGTATTGCTCTCTGTTGCGAGCAGTAGATCTGAAAATATACTAAAAATTTCATGTATAGAATGATTGCATTTCTAGGAGCAAGTAATTACACTGTGTTTCACGTAGCTTGTGTCATCCATTATGTTGAGAGCAGACATTGGTATACGCATTTGTATGTTCTAGTCTGTCTTATGGCTCTTATTTGGATCATGAGATGTGCAAGCAAAACTACTTACATTCGACTGTGTGAGCCATCATTAATTAATGTACCAAAATTGAGAAGATTTAAATTGTACATTTTTTATGCTACTTAACTTCCTCCATATTTAATTATGATTAATATTAATTAGTTGCATTTAAATACTGATTATTTTGTTTTTGAAATCATATGGATGCTAAAGATCATATGTCTGTGATATGCATCTATATGATATATGTAATTGTATGTCTTTTAATGATATCATAAATTGTGTGTAAAATTTTCAGTTTTAAGTCATAGAATCTTATTTGTATAAAATTAGTTTTTATAAGCATATAGAGAAGAGAATATTTATTATAATTAAAATTACCAGTTTCTTTTTTTTTCAAGCATAAGAATTTTCTTTGTTTGGGAGGAAAAGTCAAGTTACAGTTCCTTTCTATATCTAAATTTAAATAAGTGATGCTGAAATTGCGATAATTATAAATTTGTTGTTGATATAATTTGCATAGTTATTTATTAACAGAAAAAATTCAATTTTCTATGGAAATATGTATTAGATTGATTTTATTACTGTATAGTAAAGTGCATATAACTTTTTAAGGTACTTACGGAAAATCCCGTCAACCATTTTTGCTTATTAAAGAGAAGATGCCAAACTACGCGATTTTTTGCCAAAAGTTGAAGGCTTCTTCAAGCATGCTGGGTTTGCTGTAACCTTGATTACATGCATTAGTTATTATTCTTGAATAAAGACCGCTTTTTTCCCCCTCTGTCATGCATTATTGGGCACTGGTATGCAAAATCGCACATTATTGGGTATTGGTATGCAAAAGCAATTATTTTCACTGTTTTTAAATTTTTCACGAATATTAAAACTTAGCGAAAATAATTGCTTTTACAGTATATCTCCTTAATAAAAAATAATGGAAATTTTAATATAAATAAATGATAATATAATAATTTTGAAAGAAAAATAAGAATAGAACATTTTTTCCTAGTATTTAGTAAAGGTTTTTTTTTTTTTTTTTTGGTTTGGCACGAATGGTGCCGTCTCTTGTGGTCGACAAGATTTTCCGTAAGTACCTTTTTTTAAAATATGATTTTCTGATTGTCTGATTTAGATTGATAAAAGCTAAAGAAATATGTAAATAACATACAACTCCCCCCTTTTTTACACTGGTTTACTGCTTTTAGATGTTGGGCTAGTTTGTTTCAGCTGAAGCCATATTTTAATTTTTTGTTACTTAAAGTTATATAAGATATTTAAAATTTGAATAAACATTTTACATCAGTTTTCTACAGATACATAATTTTTGGTGTTCTTCTATAGTATCTAAAGTAGCAGAGAGGCTAGAACCTATTCAAAATTTAAACATTAAACCTCGAAGAGTGTTAAAAGGGCATCAAGGAAAAGTGCTTTGTTCAGACTGGTCGCTGGATAAAAGGCATATTGTGAGCTCTTCTCAGGTAAGGAGCATAAACTTTGAGATCATATAATGAAAGTAATTATTAAAAATATCTTTTAACATAATAAATACATGTATTTATCTATAAAATATATAAATTTCATTACAAATTGTACTTATGTTGTAATGTTTCTGTCAGAAATGGCTCATGCTGTCTGTATACCTGAAGCTATCAAAATTTATAAAGATGTTTTCAATTTTGGCTTAGAATTTAAAAATAAGTTAAAAATTGAAGTATTTAAGAGAATTTTTAAAGTTGAAGAGAATTCGATTTTGAAATGGTTAATATTCTGTAGGTTCTATTTCAGTATTATACTTTTGGTAGTACAGTCAAATACTGAAAATCCGCCGACCTGAAATCCGCCTAGCCTCTGAAAATATAAACATTCAGTTTATAGGTTCCGGAAAACGCAACATTGAGTACGAAATATCGAATAGAAAATACTTACCGAATAATGACGTCATAATTATCGAATAATAATGAGTCATAATGGAAATACCCAATTATTGACATCATGATAAAAGTTTTTTTCCTCTAATCTCTGCACCGAAGTAAGAAAGCAGACGATTCACTCAACTCTTCTTTCAAATTCACGATTTACGTTGTTGTATTTTCTCAGCTTTGTTATTTTACGAGATTATTTAGTGCTGCCTTTTTTAATCTGGATATTTTATGGATAAATTAAGAATGTTTTAAATTTCAGCCCTTTTTAATACAATTACAGATAAGAAACACATTCATGATTTTACTGCTTGCAATGTTGAAAAACATAAACACATTGCATTGATGGTAATGCAAAAAATGCAAATTCTACAAAAGATGGAGTTAGGTGCATTTTATAGCAGAATCGTATGGAATTGCAATATGATTGTGTATGTTATACGGAAAAATAAAGAAAAGCTGTTGAAATTTTTACAGCAACAGTGATTCTAACACCGGAATCTGAAACCGGAAATCTTTGCATGAGGCGAATCAGCAAACCTCGATGCTGTGTATATATAATACAATGAAATAATGTAATCAATTTATATATGTAATAATAATTTAATGCAAATAATAAGTTATTGAAATTATGTACATAATAATTTAATTAAATGTATTTAATGCGCCTTATTTATTTTGCACTTTTAGTCTGAATATTATGATTTATCTTTTCTGTCCTAAAATCCGCACAACCTCTGATCCCAAGCTTTGCAAATTTCTGCACTTCCACTGTATTCAGTATTACACCAAATGGGACAATAAGAGAAAAAGTGAAACAGTGGAGTCTTATCTCGCTGAATTTATGTGGCAGAATTATAAAGGCTGAGAAAATTGTTTCGAAACTATTCTTGGAGCAGTTGCATAGATTAGCTTAGATTTTTCACATTTTTGGTTAAATTGTTGTGAATTTATTATCTTAAAGATCCACAGTTACAGTTTTTAATTTAAAACAGATTGGTTTTGATTATATTCAGTTAGTGTTCACTAACTGTTATGTTAAATTCATTTAGTGTTGTACGTGCTGATGTATATTTTTGAAAATGCTAATTAAATTTGAGATAGAAGACTGTAATAATTGAAGAAACAAGTCTAACTTATCACAAATTTCTGATCTCTAATATATCACTCAATCAGTCACTAACTTATCACAATTTACCCCTCAATTTTTTATTGAAATGTGTGGAACATTAATCAGAGTGTGCAATATCTTGAACTTGCAGTGCATTAGACTGTTCTGTATCATGCATAAGGGCATTTTCTAAAATTAAGATAATTTGTCACAAGAATGCCTGTTGAATTTCTGAAGTACAAATCCATGCATATTGTTGCGTTTTTCTTTACATATGTATGGGTTCGGGGATGTGGAGTGAACAACGACGACACTTTATAGACACATTAGGTTAATTGGAAAAGCTGGAGAGATGAAAAATAAGCAACTGCCTTCGCTGGGAATCGAACCACAGACCTCTGGAATACCGGCCCAGCGTGCAGTACCACTACACCACGTAGGCACGCTAGGAAGGTAGGAGAAATACCTTATAACTTGATGAAGTATTGAAATGCATTTTATTAACCAGTATTACTCAGGAAAACTCCAAAATCATGTTTATAGTCATCGAGGAACTACTATAAACACGCTGAAACAATCAACAACACAGCCTGAAGGTTATCAGATTATCACGGTGAAGACAGCTTCATGGCAAAGCACCAGAGTACAGCTCTCGATTCTGCTCGGTTCTTCTCAGAACTCTACATACTCTCGAGACTCTCCACGCTACAACTCGCCATGCACTTGACAATGCACTCAAGTACAGTTCCCGACTTGGTTCAGTTGTTGTCGGAGCTCAACACACTCTAAGATGAAACTCAACGATGCACTAACTCATGATACACTAAGAGACTCTCTTGATGCACTAGACTACGAGACACTCGCTCACTGACTATTAACCACTTCCCAGTTTTGCCCGAACGCCGTTTGGATACTTGGAAATGGCATTTTTTTTATTTTCCCGAGCAGGGCTCGGGCAACATTTTTTTCTAGTCTAATACACTGATTTTCCCGAATTTTTTGTTTGTTTAGTGTGTAATGTTTCTAACAGATGACACTAGCAATCCAGTAAAGTTAGAAGTACCAAACAACTGGTTTCAAGGTTAGGTTTTACTGAATTCTTTTATGCAAGTAAAGGTGCGAAATTTCTTTTCGCTAGCTCGGTGTTCCGGCTACTGCAAATATTATTTTCTTTTAAATTTGGAGCTAAAATAAAAGAAGAATAATAATGAGCAGCTTATAACTGAAGATAACTCTGATATTGAATCAGATAGTGAATCTAAAATTTCACTAAATGATTCTGAAAGTAATGACAGTTTGTTGTCTGACTTCTCTAGTGATGAAGAAACGGAAAGTATAGATAATCTAACGCAAATTCGGAATTTTTGTGAACTTGATATTATTAATTTTTCTTTCTTGATATTAATAATTCTTCTTTGGAATCAAACAGATATGTGATAACAATAACATATTTTAAATTCTGACATCTAATTTTGTAAAGTGTTCTTTCCAGTTCGCTTACTTGTTCGAAAAAAGCCAACTTTAAGGAAAAATGTGCTTTTTAATGATGAAAATAAAAATTAGCATAAATCAATAAATTCAGCACTTGTAATAGTTCTGACTGCTGATTTAAGTTTATATAATGAATTTCTTCATAAAAATTGTTATCAAAAATATACTTATTTTTTTCTCATAATATGACAGAAAAAAGAAACTGTTAAGTGGTTAACTGACTTGCCTAGGCACTGAGCACTAACTCTCCGCATATTAGCGGGGTTTATTTAGCTTTCGGCTTGTGTTCGAGAACATTCTGGTCTAAACCAGTAAGAATTTGTTCCAGAAGGTTCTCCAGCTGTCTAGGGCATATCGCCAAATAGGCAATTTCTCGCCAAATATGACAAACCTACCTTCCCTTGCCATTTCTGGCAACCCTAAACCTGCTTTGCAAGGAAGCTATCCTACCGTGGCTGGACATCTTGTAATAATATTCAAGTGTGACTACTAAATTGTTGAGCTTGTGTTCAGGTCCCAGAGAAAATTTAAATGTAAGTGTATAGTGCTTTGTGGCATGGGGTACACTTAAAATGCACAGCTAGCCAAAAGTCTTATTGAGTGGTTCAGTGGTAGGAGACACTTGGATTCGTCTTTTGGGGCATTCTACTTCAAAATTACAATGAAGCTGGGCACAGTTGTACTGTTATCTGTATCATGCTCAAAACCAGCTGAGAGTGTCCAACAATAAAATTTGTGAACTTTTTCTAAGGCAGATAAGATGTCTCAACACTGGTCATATTTCTTTGTGCTGTCTAAGAAAGAAGCTATAACTTAATCCAAAGGAGAAGGGGGAAAAAAATATATTGCGAGGATTGATATTTCAGACATGTTGTATCACTAGCTCTGCTTTTTACTAATTTGGCATCTCTGTTTGTGCTATTTGAAAGATGTTTTCTCGTTTAAAATTTTCTTGGGCATTACAAGTCGGGTAGTTCACTCTTTTTTTTTTAACTTTTCAAATAAAAAAATTTTTTAATTAAATAACATTAAAAGAGAAAATGTCACTTCAAAATTGAAAATAACCTCAAAATAATTCTTGTAATCTTGCATGTAGCAATTATTTTCTTATGATCACTTATAAAAAATATTTCAAATAATTTCTTTATTTTATCTAACATAACTTGGAGTAATAATTAGCATGAGCTTTTATTGGATGTATGTGAAAATCATTTTCAATGATTAAATTATTATAAAATGAGTTGATTATATCATCTAATTCTTCTGTGTGTTTCATCTCAATCATAATTCTATTTTTAGTTTAATGGGTATTTTTCTGTTTTGCCAGCACTTGTGATAAAGATGCCAATAATGGCACAACTGTTGCCAAACGGAATATCCTCACTCGTAACCTTTTATGCCTCATTTTCAAAACAAGTTGCAGCCATTTCTTATCACATTGATCAGTCTTTCAATACTGGCAAACAATTACATAGAACTTTTACCAGATAGTACAATTTCATGTCCTAAGGCCATTCGCGGTAATTAAGTCAAATAGAATGCAATCACGCTGCTCACCTGAAGGTGAAAATATAGAAAAGCCAAAGGGTTAAATTCGTCAATTCTAATGAGAATACACTAGTGAAGTAAGAGCACTGCAGTTTTACATAATTTCTAAATAAGCTATTTGTACAAATTAAAATAATTCTTGCATTTAAATTGTATTCCAAATTAAGATTTAACTTGAAATTAATGTATATATTTGCTGAGAGAATTATATTTTTGTAGCATAGTTTACATGAGATGATATCGCTTGGGATCACGTCATATGAAACGGCGAAGCAGGATGTTGTACCATGAAAGCATCTAGTAAATTCTTAAATTAATGTTTTTTACAAATTTATCGGCTTTATTTATTATCTTTTTACAAAATTTTAAACGATATTATTTATGCCTTCAAAATAAAAATTTCTTAGAACTAACATTTGTTAACATTTTTTCTGTGTATACTGTGTGTTGTCACCAAAATAGTCTGCTTGGTGAGATTTGCACTGGCGAAACGGAAAAGTACCCATATATATTACAACTGAATATGACAGAAAAAAGAAACTGTTAAGTGGTTAACTGACTTGCCGAGGCACTGAGCACTGACTCTTGGCATATTAGCAGGGTTTATTTAGCTTTTGGCTTGTGTTCGAGAACATTCTGGTCTAAACTAGTAACTATTTTGGAACCCATTACTCAAGGTACTCAGTCAGCTTTAGTAATTTCTCATAACACTAAAATAACCCAGCAATATGTTCATAACATCCTATAGTGTGTTATTTAGCAATGACACAATTGCCAATGTTGAAATATAAAAAACGTGGAGGTTTACACTCTAATTTTATTTAATTACTTTACTTAATTAATATTTTAACTAATTTTATTCATTTTGTAATTTTCTTAAAATTTTAAGCTAATAAAAATCCAAATTTGTAAGAAAATCTTTTAATTAGCAACATTCTTTTAAGCAGAAAGAACACAAAATTAACAATTTATTTCCAAATAATCATGTGGATAAACTTAATAATGTTGCATTTATAAATTTACAACAGAATTAAGTACAAATATTTATCTAACAAAATTTAGTTAAATCTTCATAGAATGCTTCACAAACCTCTTGAGACTAATAGGCCTTTTGGGATAAAAACTATTTAAAAAAACTACGACAGGTAAATGGAAGATTTGTATCGGCTAAACAGAAAAGTACCGTTTAATGTATTATGAGTGTTAATGAACTTATCATTCTTATCAGTAGAATCGAGAGAGGGAATCATGTTTCATGCTTGTAGTTTATTATAAGTCTAATGTGAAATTGATTTAAATTTTATTAAAAAAAAAGACTGAAATTGGGAAGCTGTGTTAATCTGTCTTGGAATGGAACAACTGAGATGATTTGATTTTAAATTATGTTGCTTTAAAGTATATATTACTGCTATTTATATCTACTAAATTTCCAGCTGAAAATAATTATTTCTAAGAATATGCGTAAAGAATTATTATAGAAGGAAGGGGGCAAAAACATTTTGTCAGCTACTGAAACTTTGAAATGCAAGTTAAAAACCATACACTGAAGGAAGAAATGTTTGTTTTTCAGAATTTTCAAAGGGAATTATATATAAGGATGTGTTTGTGACATGTAGCTATTCTTTGTTCTTTTTTATCATTTATTATATTTATTAGCTACTAATTAAAATTTCTTCTTCTATAGCTGCACTTTTAATGTTTAAACATTATAATAAAAAAATTGTACTTGTATTGCTGTAAGAAATACTTTAGATTGATTGGTTTGAATTTTTTTTTTTTTGAATTATTAATGTTGTAGTGTTAATTTTTTGTACGTTTTTTTAAAGGATGGTAAAATGATAATTTGGGATGCATTTACCACAAACAAGGTAAATAAGAATTTATCATGAAATTCTGCTGTTATTTCATTTATATATATATATATATTTCTGCTTGTAAAAACTAATGCAGATTTTGAAATAATTTATTTTCCATAACTTAAATTGTATCTGAATTAAATAAATTTAATGCTTTTTTTATTTGATGTTCTGCAATTAATTAGTTGTTATAGTTTGTGACATCAATTGCTAGAAAATAATTCTTGTATGAATATTATGCACTTTTCAATAGAAAACATGTGATAACAGATGTCATTTTCTCCCCCCCTTTTTTTTCTTTTTAAAAGAAAAGAAAAGAAAAATGCATTTTGTTAATGATTTGGAATGTGTGTTTTAATATCAATTTTATGCTGAAGAGTGATTTTTCCAGTTTTTATATATTGTAATATATATTCCTTCATGTTTTACACACATCGACTTTTATTTATCCACATGTATTCTTTGTTAAATATGATATTAGATATATTTACTAAATATAGGTAATAATTAGTAGGCTACAGATAGTATTTATGATGGTGTTGCCACCTGATTCCATACGTTAATACACAATATTGGCAGTCTTATTGTTGGGCTTGCATTTTTAAATACTGAAGCAGGCATAAATCTATGGTTTTCTGTCTTTTTTTTCATGGACATAATGTTGGTTTACTCTCTGTGGTGCACCCAGAGCAACATTCTTTGTGTTAGAATTGTCAAAGGGAATTATATAAGCTATTCTCAACCACTGCTTAATAAGCAGGTGTCTGGCTATTCGAAAAAAATATACAATTAGTATTGTTAGGTAGATATTATATGTAGTAAAATTGAGGCTTTTAACATGCGTTTTTTTTTTTTTTTAATTTAGTAAATGCTGGCAGGTATCTGCTTTTTTAAGGACATTGCTTATTTTTGAGTAATAATTGATTATTCAAATTTACATTTGCACCCATTCTTTTTTTTTTTTTTTTTTTTTTTTCTCTCTTTCTGAGACAAATTATTTTATTTGATAGTGTTACCTAAAAGATCTAATATATAGTTTTATCAATTAAATAATTTATTTATGTACATTCATTTTCAGTTAATGAGTTGTAAAACCTTTATTGAACATTTGAGATCTAATGATGATATTAATGGCATGTAGTCAAACCTCCATTAGCGGACACTTCTCACTAAAGGAATATCCTGAACCTAGAAATAAAAGATTAGTATACTTTTATTTAGCAGATATAGCATGGTAACAAACAAAAGCCTTCATCTATTGAGTGTCTGCTAATCAGAGGGTTGACTGTATTTATTTATATTTTTTAAATGTCATAGTAAAGTGAAGTGTACCTTGTATGGAAGAGAGTTTAATTCTGAAAGAATTCTATTTATATAAAGATCTGAAACTCTTAATTACACAATTCAGATGGATCTTATTTAAATAAGTCATCCCAATAAATAAATTATTACTTACAATTGATAAGTTCTATCTTAGCATTTTTTCCTAGGAACATGCAATTACAATGCCAACAACATGGGTTATGGCATGTGCATATGCTCCTTCTGGAAATATGGTGGCTTGTGGGTATGTTATTGTTGAATTTTCTCTTTTCTTGGATTCTAACTGCAATTTATAATAATCTGATGATAATTTTCTTTTAGTGGTCTTGACAACAAAATCACTGTATACCCACTTAGTTTCGAAGATGATGTTTCAACTAAAAAGAAAGCTGTAGGAACTCATACTAGTTATATGTCTTGCTGCCTTTTTCCAAATTCTGACCAGCAGGTAAAATTTTACATTTTCTGCATGCTGGCAAAAATAGTACATCTTTCTGTTATCTTCTATAATAAATATCAGAATAGGTAAAAATAATCTTGAATTTGTTCTTGTATTCTGTATTTTAAGACTGGTGCTTTTCAGAAATTCTATTTTTCATGACTAGAAGTGACACATGACACTTTTCTGTGTGTAACTTTTTCTCTTTGAGAATACTATATGTTCATCTTAAATAGTACTGGATATTGCATTGTATGTGAATATCATACAAAGATGTATATAATGAGTTGCATGTAAACATCATATATATACCATATTTATTTACATATTTCTCCTCCTTGCATAATTTTCCTTATAATCTTTTTGGCAAATGAGTTAGAAATTTCTTATCTATAGTAAGAACATAAAATGTATGCACAAATAGGAAATTATTTTGTGTAAGTGAAAAGAATATTATTCTACATGTGTTTTTAATGTGCTATGTTTATGTTTATCATTTAAGCCATCTTTCAGAAAAGTATACATTGTGTAATTTCTCCCCTCCTGTTTTTCATCTAAGGAGATCTGATATTGGAAAAATTCTTTCAGGATTTGGATTCAAATTTGAAGAAATTCAGGAATCAACCTGTCTATATTTTTCCAGTGCAAATTTAAAATAATATTTGTAATATTGCTTTGCAAGCTTTGAGATCGTTATGTTAATGTAAGTTTGTTTTAAAAAAATATTGCAGGAGTCAGCAATACTGCAAATTGAGTGAAATCCTAATATTGACTTCATCATGAAAACACCAATTAAGACAATAAAAATGAAATTTCATAAGCTAAGTGTAACTGAACAGTGGCATAGATAGGCTTTATCAGCTATACAAAGGAAGATTCACACTAACATTCATGTTAGAATTTGTTAAAAGTATTTCAAATAGATATCTAAATCAAGCTTTTATTAATGGCATATTTTCTGATATATTATTGAAGATTTTATATAAAATACTGTCATTGGGTCAATCGATTGGGCGATTGGGGTCAATCCATTGAAAAAGGTCATCCCAAAAATTTTGGCTAGATGAAGTAAGTGATTATTTTTGCCTAGGATAGGAAGGAGTCGTTATAAAAATGTATTTTGAAAGAACCCATGTGTGGACTGTGTGTTTCCTTTCTGAAAGAAGTTTTTTCAACGACTGTCCAAGCTATTATTCAAAAGTGAAAAAAAAGGCAGTACCCTATATAAAATAGCAAATCTTCTGAAACAATAAGCCATAATTATTGAGAAGCAGGAGTGCTAGATAAATTGGAAGGAGAAACTGCCTGAAATAAAACCTGAGAGGAAAATTTTTAAATAACCTTCACATTTGTCTTTTATGCTGTCTTGATGGCCATTATCTAAAAGTAACATGGTCATGATAATGTAATTTTCAGAAACTGAACTGACTGAACTTATTTTTTGATACTCTGATGGTTAGTTTGCAAAGGACAGTTTGATATCGATTAAATTATTACACATGTAAAGTAGTATGAGAAATTAAATTACTAATTGATAAAGAAGCATGTCATTGCATGATTTCTGTGCCATTATGCAAATGTATTTCAAAAATAAAATAACTTTTTGGTGCAAGTGAGTCTTATTTAAGGGACCAAAAAGTTTCATGTGACTTGTGAGCCACGGTTGCCCATGCTGCTATAGTAAAGTACCTTAGGTGATACGAAGTAATGAGGCAAGGAACAAAGTAATAATATGTACAGTGGTTGTGCTTTACTGGTTGCAATAACACAAATGAATCATGCTCAAAGATTAAAGGTTACCTTTAATAGCTCAAATGGTGCTTACCCACAGTATTTCAGATATATTCAGCAGAATTTAAGATTGGGAGAATAAGGAGCCAGTCGATTCAAACAATGTGCAGCATAACAAGGAGCCAGTCAGTTCAAACAATGTTTAGCATACCAGTGAGTGCAGAGTAATAGGCTGTCTCATTTTCATCCATGAATTTGCTCACGGTGTTGATCTTAAAAAAAAAAAAAAAAAAAAAAAAACATTCTTAAGATATAGTCATAATGGGGTGTATCAGTTCCATCTCCTATTTTCTCTGGATCTGTAATTCTATCCAGTGTAATACCTTTTCAGATAAAAACCTTTGAAAAAAATTGCGATATTTGCAGTCACCCTTATACAGATGGTTTGCATTGGCTTCCAGTTTTTGGGTGCTAACATTTCTTGGCCTTTTAAGAAAATAAAGTAGTTATTATTGGACATTATTTTTTCTGAGTCCATCAGTCCATTGAAAAACTATACCTTACATTTTGAAAATTGTGTAACTGTTTTGATCTTTGCTGTAAAAGCCATATCAAACTTCTTAAACTACACATTTTATCTTAATTATTACAATTATCTAAATATCTTCCAGAGATCATTTCATTATCTGCTATATGGACTGGAAACTAACTTGTGTAATCTCTACAAAATCATGCTGATTAGGAAATATTGGAACTGCTTTTGTTGTTTATGTACTGTTTCATTACTTCCGAGTCAGAATTCTATAATTTGAATGTATACTAGCTTTCTAATGAAGATTTGTGGCATATTATCATAAATCTGTCGATTAAATTTAACCTACAGAAATAGTATTATCTTTAAATTTTTGTCACCATATTTTGCTTTTTTATATTATTCTATTTTAGATGATGTGCTACATTTAATTTACTATTATGTAGATTTTGACTGGAAGTGGAGATAGTACATGTGCATTATGGGATGTTGAATGCACACATTTAATTCAAAGTTTTCATGGCCATACTGGAGATGTTATGGCTCTTGATCTATCACCTTCTGAAACAGGAAACATTTTTGTTTCTGCTGTAAGTAAACTTTCTGTTTTGTATGCTCATTAATTTTCAAAAGCAGTGCAATGCTGTATTGTCCCCCCTATATGCATGCGCACATTCTCTTTTGGGAAGCCGAGAAACTGACTTGTTATTCTAGAATTAATATGCAGTGAAAGTTGATGTTATCAGACATAATTTTCTATTGTTTGTTTCAGCTGTTCTGCAAGTGATGCTTAATACTCACACCTTTTTAATGAATGCTATTCAGTATTAACTGTAGTTACTATATATTATTTCCAAATGTATATGTATTGTCAAATTAGGGTTTTACACTGTAATTATGTAGTACACATGTACTCATATTTAGTACAATCATTGTACATACTTTGCTGATAAATTTTATGCAAATAATGAATATTTAAATATATATTAAATGATAAATCATATCAATAAATGGATACTATGGAATGCTTAAGTACTGTTAGGGAGCATTTAAGTAAAATGCATTAGAGGCAAAAGAGCAGAGTTCCTTAAAACTGGGGAGTGATAATCTGTACATATAATAAAAGAAAGAGTCTGTGTGTCTTTCATACATGCTGCGCATACGCTAATAGACCCAGAACTACAAAATTTGGTATATAGATGCATCTAGACAAGAGCCAGTGCACCTCGAAGCGATTTTTTCAAAATTCGAATAATATATTTTTTTTTTTTAGTTTTATCTTTTCAATTTTATTGCATCATTTTGAATAGTTTCATTCTTTTAAAAATGTGGTTTTTGGCAACAGTTTTTCATTGGATACTGGACGCTTGTTGAGAGAAGGCAATGGGAAGTTGGTTAATTTATTTATTAGGATAATTAATATTTGTATTAAGGGTATTGCTTGTAATATGTAATAATTTTTATTTATTTATTTACTTATTTATTTTTGTCCAAAAGGGGTGCTGGTTCATTATAAATGTCCGTTTCACCTTTCAAACAGTTGCCACCAAATATTAGAGATCTGCATTATATTTGAAGAAATTAAATAAAGAAAAGTCTGCATAAATGTAGGCATATTTCTCGCCTTGTGATAAAACAATGGTAGAGCCATCAAATTTTGAATTGCATAATCCTACTGTGAATATGAGCATGTGGAAGCCCAAATTTGAAATTGGCATTTGTTTTATTATTGATTTCATATTTTGTAAATCTTTAACGAATTTTTAATTAAGAAACTCAAGGATTTCAAAGCGAGCTATAGCAACATCGTACAGAAAAAATTTTTTATCTCCAGCGTGTGAAACTGTATATTGGAAATTCTAAAGATATGCTCAATTTAAAACTATTTTGCGATATTGCTCTTGAGCTGAATTTTATGGTTTAAGTTCGAAGAAGGTGATATTTAATAAATAAAGGTAACAGACAAAATGTTAAAAAAATGTCCCTTTGGACCTAATTTAAAATCTGAAACCATTCAGATTTTTTATTTATTTATTTTTTTGGATGAAGCTGTTCTGCAGAGTAAAATTCTGTGCAATTTTTAAATCTGACATTTGGTGTTTCCCTTCAGGCATTTTTCCAGTACATTTAAAAGTCAGGCGAAGGCTGCTAGTGACTAATAATACATATAAAATAAAGACATGCAAAGCAAAAAGACTTTCAGTGAAAATCATCTTAGGAATGTCTCAACAAATGTTGAATGCTTCTTCAACATGAAACTTAATCATGTTAAAAAATTACTTCTTTAAGCCTCACTTAATGAGAATTTTCAAGCAAAACAATCACTGTCGAGATTGCAGCAATCAAGCAAAATTTATATTGTCCTGACTATGCATCTGAGTGATAAAGCAGGTTGTGGGCATTATGTTATTAGAAAGAATGTCTTAAGTCAGGGAATAAGAGGCTGTGTGTAAGGATATGTTATCCGAATAAGTTGCCAAGTATAATTGATTTTAGAACAAGCATGTTAAACTCATGACCCTCAGTTTGCCCTGGGAACTTTAAAAAAAAAAATGTAATTATAATATATTAGAATTCTTGGTACTCTTCTGTTATTGGGAACAGATTCAGAAATGTATGTATATATGTGTGTGTACACATACACTCACATACTTACATATATATACACATGCATACATGAACACATCCATCCATACATACATGCACATGTGCATACATTTCTGAATTCAAACCTGATAACAGAAGAGTACTGAATTCTTTTTAAATATCAAGGCATACATACGTCATGGTCTTAAAAGCATTCTTGAGACCGCTTTAAAAATATATCAATTAACGTGGACAATATTAATGAAACAATTTTAAAAAGTAATCAACTTGAGATCTCATTGCTTAAGGCAGCATCAATTCTCTAGCAGATTTGTAGCAATGATATTTTGAGCTTTCCTACTACCCAAATATGCATTTGTTCATCCTGCTGTGTGATTCTCAAAAGTTTTTTTAACTTAAGGGACAAAATTAAGTACTTTTTGGAAATTGAAAGCTTATTGACAGATCATTTGTGGTTATGAATGTTTTTTTTAAAGTATGGTTGATGTTACAAAATATTTCTCAGATTTGAATTTGAAACTGCCAATAAAAAAATACAGTTATTGTGAATATGAATAAACAGGTACAAATATTTGAACGTAAGTTACTGCTGTGAAAAAAATAATTAAAATTGAATACTAAATACTGTATTATTTCCAAATACAAGCCATATAACTGAGAGTGTGTTTCTTCTTCAGACATTTACTGAAAAATCAAAACCCTTGTATAAGCTGAAATGAGGACGGGGGAAAAAATCCTGTAATACTCAAACATGTTGCTGTGAGAGTGAAAATGTTGCCAAACAGTTTAAAACAAGCAGAATATTTTCCAGTGAGATCACTGTAAAGTAAAATGCCAGATGTTAATGACAATAAATTTAACTCTGGTAACCGTGTCTGAAGCTAACACATTTTCCTCATTCATTTATTGTCTTGTATATGATCTGTGGTATCTCTATTTTCTGTGTTATTTGATTTCTTTGTCTGAAAGATGATCGGGAAAAGAAAGTCTTAACAACAGTACTGCTGCTTGACATTTTTCTGTGAATGAAGAACAAGTTCTGTAGTGGAGGAAAAAACGTCTTCAATGAGCAGAGATGCCAAAATTTAAAAAAGGCAGCACATTGCTGTTTTCCATTTTCCAGGCACAAATTTCACCAATATCGGATTTTTTTTTTTTTTTTTTTTTTTTTTTTTTTTTTTTTTTTGTGACAACACATCAAGCCAGTAATATAAGCAATTTAAAAAATAAACAACTTATTTCATAAAATGAATAACTCATTTTTTTAAAATTAATTGTTTTTCATAAACTTAAAAGACATAAACTAAAGTTAGAAAATGGGTCTTATGGTCATTATTTTTGCCTGGCAAATGGAAAAGTATCTAGTCTTGAGATTAGCAGATCCATACATAAGCTGTAGTTTTGCCTTGGAAAAAAGTTACAAGAATTCTCAGCTTTCAAAATATGTGGTCCAAAATGTGTGCCGAAAAGCTTCAGCAGTTGAAGATTGAATATGAAGAAAGGTATGTAATGTCAGATCTATTGAAGATGAGCTAATTTTGTTTTCACTCCCATTTTATCCAACATTGAGAAAGTGCTAGCCCATTTGCAGATGAAATTAATACAAAGTGATTTGAAGCAAAAGTTCAGTAGAAAGTGTAATGCCAGATTTTACAGATGCTTGCCTGTGTGGTTCCTAGAAAGCTGCAGATTTGCATAGTACCTCATTTCCATGCTTGGTAGTATGCATTAGTGTGAAACAAGTTTTTTACTTATGAAAAGTATTAAGTCCACAGTGAGATCCATATTAACTGACATTCATCTGACCTCTGTTCTGAAAATAACTACTGCAATCAGCATGTCTCCGGCCATCAGAAAAGTAGTTACAGGCAAATTAAGATGTCAGGTATCGTTAAAGAAAACAATAGGTATACGACTACCACTGGAATATCCTTATGTTCATTCTATTTTTTTTAACCCTGTGAGTGCCATGACCAGCTTTATCCAGGCATGAGATATATTGTCACTTGGTACATATTAGCTTACTATTTAAGATCATATGCTTTCTTACTTTTTTTAGTAATGTAAATGTCTTAATGAATAAGCTTATGAAATCAGAAATTAAAATACATAATCTTACAAATTTAGCTAATAAATGCTGTTCTACAGTATAGGTCTTTATGACAGATCCCCAAACCCACTCCGCTTAAAGGGTTAAAAAGCTACAATGATACTAAGTGAGGTTTTTCTGTATTTATTTATTTTTAAATACCTGGTCAAGTAAGAAAATTACTTTTTTTCTATTAGTCTATGCTACTGTACGCTGATGATCGTATGGCCCACTTGAGATGCTGAGTTTGACAGGTACTTTTCCGTTTTGCCGGTGCAAATGATAAAGTCAGCAATAGCCAAACGGAATATTTTCACTGGTAACATTTATGCCTCATTTTCAAAACAAGTCGCAGCCATTTCTTACCAGATTGATTGTTTCCTTCAATACTGGCATACAATTACATAGAATATTTACAAAGATACACACCTGCCAACTTTTACGAATTTTTCGTAATTTTTACGAAAATGTGTTTGTTTTTACAATTTTACGATCGTAATCCATTTTTTACGATTTTTTTCCTTTTTCAAGTGTTTCTAGTGATTTTTGTCGAAATTTTAGAATTTTTGCCAATTGCATCGTGTTTTACCACCAACTACCGACTACTTCGAATCCAGTAACCTGCGGTTTCTCCCAACTCGCCACTTAACCAGCCAATCCAATGGGCTGAACTTGTTTCTCCCACTCTTTTCTTTGTCGATGCCAGATTATTTTTTTCGCGTTCGCTTCAGCAGCAAGGGAAATACTCAGCTCGGACTCAGCAAGCGTGGATTGTCGCATTCTGTTTTTTTTTTTTTTTTTTTTTTTTTTTTTTTGGCTCGTGCTACGAATTTTCTTAATACGTCGTTGTTACGAAATGAGTTAAAAAAAACCGTATTCTCAATATTTTCGGCCTGCCTACAAAGCCGAATTTCCAACAATTAAAAAATCCTTCAAAGGAAATAACTATGCATTTTGCAACGTGTGCGTGTGTGACTTCATAATAAGTCACGGTGGAAGAAGCGACATTGTGAAGAATGTTAAGTTTAAAAGCATGACGTTAATGCTTCGGCTTCAACGTCAAAGAAAGTGGATGATTTTTTTTCAAATTCGGCTGCGAATTTGGATGCCGATGTCATTTTGGCAGAGTGTTTGTTTACTGCATTCCTCATCGAACACAATGTGCCGCTAAGCGCTGCCGATCACGCCGGTCAGCTTTTCAGACGGATGTTTCTCGACTCCAAGATTGCTCAGAAATATGCTTGTGCTCGCACGAAAACATCTTCTATTGTGAACGAAATTGCTTGCAATGCACAAAGTAAAACGATAGCTGCATTCCAGAATTCAGCATTTTCGTTGTCAATCGATGGCAGCAACGACAGCGATTGGAAGCTTTACCCCATTGTTGTCACATATTTCTGTGATGTTTCTAATGAAATGAAAACTCACCTTTTGAGTCAAGAGTTTTATGTGCTATTCTCGTAATTCCACACAGTAATGCTGAGTGCGAGAGAGTCTTCAGTGTTGTGAAGAAAAACAAAACTATGTTTCGTTCTTCAATTTCACGAAAAACTCTAGAAAACATTTTAATTGCTAAATGTTATGAGGAAACAAATTGTTATGACAGGAAATTTTCCAAAGAGTTTTTGGCTAAAGCCAAAAAATGCGCTCTAAATTCATTGCAATAATTTTTTTGTTTAACATTAAGTTCTTGTTTTATGTTTCCTAATAAATTTTTTAGTTACTACTTAATTCAGATTTACTAATGTAAGTACAATTTTCTTTTTTCTATTTGTATAAATTGGTATTTTCTTAATATCAAAGCATGATATTAATTCTTCGTGTTTCTCTGAATTTTTATCTTTAGAGGTTGGCAGGTATGAAGATAATTAAATTTTATGCCCTAAGACCATTTACGGTAATTAAGTCAATTACGATGTAAATCACACTGCTCACCCGAAGGCAAAAATCAAGGGTTAAATTCATCAATTCTAATGAGAATGCACTAGTGAAGTAAAGCACTACGGTTTTAATCTAAGTAACACTACGGTAAAGCACTACGGTTAATATCTGAGTAAGCTATTTGTACAAATTGAAATAATTCTTGCATTTAAACTTGTATCCCAAATTAAGATTTAACTTGAAATTAATGTAGACAATTACTGAGAGAATTTGTAGCATAGTTTGTGTGAGATTACATCACTTCGGGTCATGTGATACGAACCGGCGAATCAGGATGTTGAACCATGATAACATACTAAATTCTTAATGTCTTTTTACAAATTTATAGTCTTTATTAGCTTTTTACAAAATTATAAACCATATTAAAATGTTTATGCATTCAAAATGAAAAATTCTTAGAACTAGCATTTGTTAACATTTTTTATCTGTATACTGCATGTTGTCGCCAACAAAGTCTGCTTGGCGAGGTTTGCGCCAGTGAAACGGAAAAGGATCATTTCACATGCTTAATATGATTTCATCATTATACTTAAAATGCATGTAAATGTGTTCTTATTACACCATCACTGTCACTGCTCATAATGAAAAGCATTGACACGTTCTTCAAAGTTAGTGGTCCTCTTGTTTTGCAAATTCAGTAAAATAGATTCACATATGCTGTAAACAAGATTAATATCCTAGCAAATCAGCATAAACAAGTAAATAGATTGAGTGTGATCATTAGAGACTTCGTTTCCAAATGCAGATTTCAAGAGATTAGAAATCAATATCAATTAGCTTAATTTTTGTACACTGTTTGAGGTTTTATATACACTCTTAGACAAAAAAAAAAAAAAAAAAGACACACAAGAAGGAGTTATCTGAATGGGACGAAAATCGGTAGAAGTGATGTACATGTCCAGAAAAACAAAGGATTACAGTGAGAAAAATTGGATGATTTATTGAAGTAATAGAGCTTCACAAAGTGTAAAAGTCAGAAATCCGTTTGTCCACCTCTGGCCCTTATGCAAGCAGTTATTCAGCTTGGCATCGATTGATAGAGGTTGCGGATGTTCTCCTGAGGGATATCGTGCCAAATTCTGTCCAACTGGCGCGTTAGATCGTCAACATCCCGAGCTGGTTGGAGGGCCCTGCCCATAATGCTCCAAACGTGTTCAATAGGAGAGAGATCTGGCGACCTTGCTGGCCAAGGTAATATTTGGCAAGCACTAAGGCAAGCAGTAGAAACATGTGCAGTGTGTGGGTGGGCATTATCTTGCTGATGTAAGCCCAGAGTGGCATGACATGAAGGGCAACACTGCGGGCTTTAAAACTTCGTCGACATACCGCTGTGCTGTAAGGTTGCAACGAATGACAACCAAAGGGGTCCTACTATGAAATGAAATGGCACCCCAGACCATCACTCCTGGTTTTTGGCCTTTGTGCCGGAAGACAGTCAGGTTGTTATCACACCGCTGTACGGGGTGTCTCCAGACTTGCCTTCGCTGGTCATCAGGGCTCAGTTCAAAGCGGGACTCATCACTGAAGACTATTCTACCCCAGTCAGTGACATTCCAGTGTGAATGAGCCGGACACTACTGCAAATGGGCTTGACGTTGTACAGAGGTCAATGGTAGTCAGCGCAAGGTGCACCATGATCTCAGCCCCCTTTCTGTGAGGCATCCATGAATGGTCCTTGTGGTCACTGAAGCAATAGTCATGTATAATCGATGATAATGATGCATTTGGGGCTGTGAGTGCTGCTCTGACGATTGCTCGGTTTTCACATTCTGTCGTTTCTCTAGGCCTACCGCTTCCTTCGTGATGATGTGTGCAACTATGGTTTACCCATTCCTGCCAAAACCGTCTAATAGTAGCATTGCTCCTGCTGAAATGTCGAGCTATTCGCCGATAAGACCAACCGGCTTCTTTGAGCCTACTACAAGACCTCTCTCAAATTCTGACATCTGCGCATATCGTTCGCGCACCTCTATGCGAGGCATAGTTACTGTCTACCAGAGTATATGGAATGAAATTCGTGAAGAATTTATGACCTGGAATCGTAATTTCTCCTCTTAAATATCCTGCCAGTTTTGCAGATCAGATGTGCTGTAGCGACAACCTTATACTTAAATTCAAAGCACATTCATTGGCAGCCAAAATGTATTATTTTGCATTTTCCGTCGAAACTATATGCATATCAATTCGTGTCCAATTTGCTTTATATCTTCTTGTTGCGTGGTGGTGCATCTTTTTTTTTTTTTTTTTTTTTTTTTTTTTTTTTTTTTTTTTTGTCTAAGAGTGTATTTATAAGAAATTCAGATTGATTGTCGAGCCAAATGTAAAAGCTAAGGAAAACCTCAAAGGGTATAACATTAAAAAGAATAGTTCTCTAATCTTTTGATAATTTCTGATACAGTTTGTATGTTATTAATTTTTCTTTTTTCATGATTGAAGATTCAAGTTGTTTCGATATATTTTCTATAACTATTGCATTTAAAATCAGAAGTCAAGAAATTTTTATGAATTTAAATGAAGTTAAAATATTCTGATCGCTGATGATTCTATATGTTCACTTTCTGATTATAATATTTCAAAACTATAGTTTATAGTAACTGTAATTTCATCTGAAGGGAGGGTGAATGAAATTGGAGGGAATAATTTTCAGTGTTTATCATTTGTCATGATAAGGTATGTGATAACATTCCTGAACATTTTTTAAAGGGATGTGATCGGCAGGCACTTATTTGGGATATGAGAACTGGCCAGTGTGTTCAGCAATTTGAGGGACACGAATCTGACATCAATTCTGTAAAATTTTACCCCAGTGGAGATGCCATTGCTACAGGTTCTGATGATGCAACAGTGAGTGAATTATTTTCTTATAAAAATATCAAGTAATTATATATGTACACTGCTAAAAAAAAAATGGGACAGTGCTATATCTCCCATTCTATGGGGCCGATTGACAAAATTCAAACTGCGTTTTTCATGTCTCGAAAGCGCGACTTGGGATATATATTAGGTTTATATATAGCACTATTCTAACATAGGTATTTTGACACAAAATCGGACTTTTTCTGAAATAACATACCAATTTTTTTCCATGTTTCGATTCTATGACTCAAATTATGCCAGAATACCAAGTTTTGTAAAAATCGTACGAGTAGTTTTTAAAATAATTGCTTTCAAAATTTTAGCTCCTCAATGTTAATTGAATTTGGCAAATATTTATTAATATCTCTTCTTTTTATTAAACTTTTTTTATTTTTCTCTCACATTTCAAAATTTAGGTTCATTCCAAATAAAATTTACCCATTTTTTATGTTTTATTTTTTAAATTTTTATTTTTAAAATAATTTTTATAAATTTTTCGAAAAAAATATTTTGAATTATAACCTATAAAATTTTTACCATCATCTTAAAGTAGGTGTATTTTTAAGCATATCTGCAAAAAATTACACTTTTTTATTCAAAATTTTCTAAGATATACACGAATTTACATATTTTCGCGTTTTGAAATTTGGCATCTTTTTTGTTGAGGGATAACAACACCAAATGTGGTCTATGGATTTTTGTTACAGTGAATTGCCACAGCTATTTTTAACCTTAAATTTCAAGTAAAATTTTACGGAGAATTAATTATATGACATTTTTTCCTTCAATGACACGTAATAAATATTTATTAATACTATATGAAAAGCTATTTTTTTTTAAATTATGGATGATATTATTCAAATTTTTAACTATTTTTTTTTATTTCTCTCTTTTTATTAAAAAAAAATAAGAGTAAATTTTTACCTTCGGCATTTTATCGTCTGCTACTTTACTTCATTTAAATCGAATTGTCTAAAACAGAGAATTTTCGTTTGATGTTTATTTAAATTTATGACATTAACTGCATAATTTATTTCTAAACAAACTGTTGCTTTTGAAGTGGCTGAAAGAGCGGCTGATACTATCATCCATATTTTTAAAGCACAGTATATTTTTATAGAAACATAAGATTTAGAATAATCATTTTTATAAAAGTTAAATTATGATATAAACATACAACCGTCTAGAGATTGAATTAATGGAAGTTCAATGGTTATGTAGAAATGATCTGCAGCTACTTAATGGCTGGATAAGTCAGCAAATTCTGTGGACAAGTAAGAATAATTATATAAACGACACCCAACATTCTAGATTCAATTAACAATGAGGATACAATGTTTATTAAATGAATTTAAAAAGTTTTAAAACATAAAAAATCAACTAATTTTTTATCCTAAAATGTATTTTTGTGTGTAGCGTATTTTCATTATATCCTTAAAATTCTATTTTAGAATGTAATTTTCAAGAACGGAATCCTAATCGTCAGTAATATAATAAGTAATTATTACAGTAATTCATAAATCCTTCTTATAAAGTAATTTCAAACATTTCAAAAAACTTTCTGTCTGAATGCAGATATTTTTCTGTGCAAATATTTTTAATTTTATATTAATCAAGATTGCACACGATATTATTTATTTGCACTTCAATTCTTACCGTCAGTTCTAGTAGAAATTACAAATCAATTATATTTAATTATGGCAAAGCACACGAGGGCTATCTGCCTAAAGGGAGGGATGCCTTCGTGGAGGACTTTCTAAGGGAAACTGGCTCGTATACACAATACACATGGGGAAAAACCACGAAAACGCCCATGCATCCAGCCCGTTCGCGGGATTTCGAACCTCAGGACCGAACTACCAGTGTTAAGCGTCTTTACCGCTCGGCCGCTTGATGGGCTATTTAATTAAGGAACGACCATCTAAGTTTAGAAACCGTACCGTAACAGCAATTCAATTATTGACGCCGTATCTTTTATGTTACTCCCGATTGGCAAGCTACATAATTTTTAATGAGTATTCGGGTTTTGCTAGTAACTTCACTTGGAAATCGTGCTTAAACTAGGTTAGTTGGTTATTTGAACATAGAAAGAACATGGGAGCTATTTGGTTAAGATGTTTTCATAGAGAACCTTTGAAAAGAGAACCTAGGAAACTACGAAAATCAGTCATGCAGCCTGGGTTAGACTTCGCAACAAACAATTAGTATTTAACAATCTTCAAATGCTAGGCAACTGGTGAGGCTCCAATTAATCTCCAATTTAATATTTTATTTGTAAATATTTAAAATATTGTTGTATTCTTAGACGCAAAAAGCAGAATTTAAGTTTTGTTAACTCGTTAGTAAACTACCAAGCCGTAGTGCAAATGAATATTCAATTTCTTTTGCAATAATTGTATTCACTTAATATTCTTAAAATATAAGCTAAAGAAGGAACATTCTCAGAAGATTAAAGAAGTGTTTAAATCCAGTGATATTAGGTTTGTCTTACAAGCTCAGGATGAAAACGATTCTGCAATTGCCCGAGTAGTTGACTTGTAAATGGCTGTGAATTAAGCAGATGACTTTTAATCTTGCATTTTCTGACTGAAAACATATTCCAAATGTTTTGTATTGCATGACAACCAGTTGGAGAACCGCTTGTGTTCCGAAAATAAGTATGTGTACTCAATCATCCTGCATGTTCTTCAAATTTTTCTTCTTGTGTATATTTTTCTTTCCCAAAAACTAAAGTTGCCTCTCAAAGGAAAGTTTTTGGGCATTGAAGAGACAAAGAAGTATGACATCTACTTTTAGAGGCATGTCAAAAACAGATCTCTACAAGCCTTCTCTTCCATTACATGTTGTGCAGTCAGACAAAAAGTTGCATCAGCGTAAATTCTATGTATAATCTATTTTTATTACACTCTGATTACTTTATTAACAATACAGGTGAATATATACTAAATCTTTTACTTCAAGCTTAAGTAATTCGGAATTTTTGACGTAATTGTTGTCGGAACTAGGACTTTAGAAGATAAGTCAAATTAAATATTTCGATAACCCAATAAATTCAAGGTCGAAGTTTCAATATTTGATTTTCGAAGGAAGGGGAAATTTTTTCAGTTTTGGTCCATTATCCTAAGTATATTTGCTCGATTCTTTATTTTTCCCATAAAAGCGAAAAATTTACGCATGGTAATACATATAACGCATAGCTCAAATTAAAATTTAATATATATACAGAGTGGTTATAATTAAAGTTCCACATTGAAACGGTCATAAAAGGAAAACTACTGGATCAAATGTTATCAAACTTGGTAATCGTGTAAACGAGGTCACGGGAATTTATTTTCCGCGAAAAAAAGGAAGTTCAAAACCTCACCACCAGGGGGGAAAGGCGCTGTATGCAATATCGTTAAACAAAATATGGGTCGGAATCTAACTTAACCTTTTGTTACACGGGTTTAATATGTTGTATACCCTTAAGAAACTTTGAAGTAGGCAAATTACCATTTAAAAGCGTTAAATTCGGTAAAAGTCGAGTGCGCCATCCGTATAAGTGAGAAATTCGTCCGTGAAAACCACAAATTAGCGATTAGAAATTGTGAGATCGCAAATTACTCGCACAAGTGCGTACAGTCTGGAAATCGTTTTCTTACAGATCGCTAATTTGTAATTTTTTAAGCCTGAATTCGGCACAAAAACTTGAAGATACTGATTCAAAACACTTTTAATCGATTTGGGCCAAAGAAATCCGTCATGTTATCTATCTAGTTCTATTGCATTCTCCTACTGCATTCGATTGCATAGCAGTCATTCCACACTGTTTAGTGTTGAATGACAACTAGTTTTATAACTGAAACATTTTTCTCTGAAGAGCAGTCGACAGCTGGACCACTGTGATTGCAGCTCACTTAGAGTCAATGTTAAGATGTTTCGTGATACATGAACTGCAGTAACGTGGCATTTTAGATACTACAATTTTTATGCAGGGCTCACATGTGTCGCACAGTTATTTAGGCAACATTTCACGAATGAACGTCTTATAGGCCAACACTTCCCCTCTTCCCACCAAACCTCAAGCTCTGTGACTTTTGGCTATGGCGTTATCTCAAAAGCACTGTTTATGGTGATAATCTAAACAATTTTGCAGAAATGAAAAATTTGATACATTGACATGTGCGTATCATTCCTCCTGATATGCTAAGAGCTGCTGTTGAGAATGCAGTAACAGGATTTAACTTGCTTTCAGAAAATGCTGGACGCTACATTCAGGGTTCATACGGTCCTTAAAAGTTCTTAAATTTTTCCAAAATGATTTTTGGTCCTTAAAAGTCCTTAATTTTGGTCAAAATGAATAAACGGTCTTTAATTTTGCTCATTTGACATTTCTTATCATTTCTAGTGATTGCCATTATAAGTGTGAAATACGATTTCTCATGAATATGAAATTAAAATTACACGGCTCTTAACCAATCTGTTGGCAGATTTGCTTTGCAAACGATAAAAAATAAACAATTGTGGCTACCCTAGGATGAAAGTATCGGGTGTCTGATTGGATATTCACCCAATCTTTCGAAACAGGTGTTATCCATAAATTTATGTAGATTGTGATAAAAGCGTGAAGCCGGAATTTCTTTAAGAGGCGAAAGTGATGATGAAGGTGCTCGAGGAAAAAAAAGGGGGAAGATTCTGAAAACATTTGCCAAAATTAGAACAATCCCAACCTGGAAGGCCACAACCCCTCCGACGCCAATAGGAACGAGATGCCTGGAAAGTGCATTTTCAATAAACTGTGGCTTCATCAAGCTGACTACAAAGACTGGACATTGATGGATGATAATCCTTATAAAGCTAAATGTGGTCTTTGTCTGAAACAAATTGAAATTTCTAGAATGGAACAGTCAGCGCTGAAAATTCACATGAAGCTAAGTTTCGTTTTATCATTTCAATTTGTTTTTACACGGTTTTGCTTACCTTAATTTCTGTGTTTGTTTGAATTAAGC